CTCAGTGTACTTAACAGCAGCTAATGGGACAAGTAGTAAAACAGGTTCAACGAACCTTACTAACTACGGCGACAATTCAGTTAGATATTCATAGTCGCAGACGTACATCAACCCTTATTAGGACGGATTTCTTGACACATTTTAACTTGTTGGTGGATCTAGGAAGCCAGCAATTGCTGGATGTCAAGACGCAGCTTTACATTCCTGGTAACACAGTGGGTACACCAACCATATGCCACAAAACAGTTCTCCATAGTACAAGCTCCTTCATAGATTACCAGACCTATTTAAACCAGATGTTCATCAGCCAACTGCCACACATGCTGTGTCACCACATCACCACCAGTGGTACACCACTTTTCGCTTGTCCGGAACGACTCAAAATATCTAACGATGAGTTTCAATACACGCTCCAGTTAGGAATAATTCGAGCATCTCAAATCATGTGGGCATCACCGTAGCATATCATCGCCCAGAAAACAGCATCCGATTGGACACCCTGTGCAGACTACAGAGCACTTAACCGAATCACCATTCCTGATAGGTACCCCATTCCACACTGTCATGATATCTCTACTCATCTCCTTGGATGTACTATCATTTAACACCATGCGTGCTACTCACCACATTTCTATTCACCCTGATGATACCAATAAGACAGATACCACTACACTATTTGCGGTGCACGAATCCTTACGCATGCCATTTGGTTTACGTAACGATGCACAAACCTTTCAACTTTCTATTGATCAGGCACTTTCAGGCCTACCGTTTGTCTTTGCCTACATTGATGATATTTTGATCGCAAGTGCTGACGAAAGAGAACACTTGCAACACCTAGAAAGCTTATTTGCACGTCTCAGCAAGTACGGAGCGGTTAGTAATAATAACAGGTGTGTCTTTTGTCAATCTTCTTTGAAATTTCATGATCACACCATTGATAGCACTAGCATGTCGTCAAATGCAAAGAAACTTGACGTCCTAAGAGACTTTCCCACCTACTTCCGTGAAGCATTTGAACCGTATCTTAGGTATAGTTCAATGTTACCACCGTTTCATTTCATAGGTCGCAAGCATGTTATCTCCAATCACGAACTTGTTGGTTGGTATTCCTAAGCGAGTCCATATCACTGCACAAGCTTTCCACGAAGTCAAATCTTCTCTAATACGGTGCAGTTTTTTTTTTACCTACAATCCGATGCTCTGCTGTCGCTAAATGATTTATATATCCAATACAGCTATCGGAGCTATCTTACATTAAATCGTCGATGAAGTCCAACAACCACTTGGATTTTTCTCCTAGAAGCACACACCAGTCGAAACTCGATACAGTACGTGTGCTCGTGAGTTACTCGTCATATACTCAAGCATCCGCTACTTTCGACATCTTCTGGAAGGAAGATAGTTCGTTGCTTTTATCTATTATATATCTTTGACATTCGTTATACAGGCTAAGCCAGATAAGTACTCACCCTGTTAAGTGGGTCCGCTAGATCTCATTTCACAGTACACCACTGATATCCTCCATATTTCTGGACAAGAAACCATTGGTGCTGATACACAGTCACACCTGCAAGTTTATTTGATGATGGCGTCTACCATCGATCTAGTACGCATGGTTCAACTGCAATAAGTCTAACTATCTCAGTCGCAGGTGAATAACATGCAGATTTCGCTGAACATCCAAACATTTCCTCTGCATGTTACACCAGGTACGATAGATTGTGATATTTCCTTGGCAATCCAAGAATAATGGTTCCTGTATCCATGCGAAGAAACATTTTTCAGGCTCTTCTTAACGATCAGCATTCCGGCATACCTGTAACTGTCAACATGATCTTCGAATGCTTTGCATGGCCGAACATGAACAAAGACATCACACTTGAGCAGACTTGCTTAGCGTGTAAAGGTTCGAAAGTCATTTGGTAAACCCAATAGCACGTCGGAACTTCAGCAAAACCAGACAGCAGGTTTGACCAAATCCACATCGATCTCGTCGGAGCCCTACTCTATTCCAGTGGTAATTCCTCCATCTTAACAAGAATTGATTGTTTAACTCCATGATCTGAATCCATTCCGATTGCAGACACTTTCAGAAACAATCGCCCGTGCAAATACGAGCAGATAACAATCGACCGTGCAATAACAGAAAGCCGCCGACGTCTCCGACAGTAACACCTCAAACTGATACTTCCACCAAGAAAACAACACGTGTCACTCCAGCCGGACGACGTGTGCATTGGCCTGACAGATTTGTTACCCACTGAAAATAGCCACTTAACGCGATCATTTTACCCCCTCCCCAACATAGGCACTCACTTGCATTAAGGAGGGTATTGTTAGGTACGTTTGCCACTTCCACAAAACACTCATGTTTAGGGAACTGCAGTGTTCCTTCACCTACATGGCAAAGTCTAATCACACGCCACGGGATATACACCACGTGATATACACGCCGGCTGACGAGGCGGTTGAGCAGGATTCGGGTAATCACCTTGCCCACACAATTCAGCAAGTTGATGCCACGAAAATACGTGGCACATTGCTTGCTCCCTTTGCCCTTGTACAATGGTAGCACAAGAGCATCCTTCAGCTCAGGAGGCACCTCCTCCTCTATCCATACACGTTGCATCAAGTGCTGCAGCGCAGTCAACAACGCGGGTCCACCATGTTTCAATACTTCAGGCGGGATCCCATCGGCACCGGCACACTTGCCGATTCGCAGCTAAGCAAGTGCTCTCTGCGTCTCATCCAGTGTCGGCGTGTCCGCCAAACTCACATTCACACACACACACACACACATATATATATATATATATATATATATATATATATATATATATATATATATATATATATATATATATATATATATATATATATAGTTGTGGTGTTATGACCTGCCTGGCCGGACCGCCTCACAGGTTTCTTGAACGGAGGAAATTTGCACATTAAAAAAGCATCCAGATCTTCTAGGCACTTTCATGGCCAGGAAGGTCACAACACCGCACTAGCCAGTAATCGAAGGTCTCGAGGTCGTACGGGAACTACGAGATGTTGCCAGCAATATAATCTACCTATTGCGAACTGCAAGGGAACCTAAATGAATGGAAGAACTAAAAAGTTAATTGAAATATACGGACATCCGCTTTAACTGTTGTGCTAGCACCTGTTTCAAATCAGCGTACTTGTCTGCCGTGTTCCGAATAATCACGTCGCAAATTTGTTATGGATCGCATATTCGAATGGACCCAATAAACGCTTCACAATTGTTCCAACATAAGACTAGTCAAACGAAGCTTATTCCGATCACAGATCCGCGATCCTTAACCAATGAGTGGTGAAGAAAACTACCATCCACCGGAGTAACCGCAAAGATGAGCCGGCAGGTCGAACCACATGACCGCACCACGAGCCAGAGAGAGAGAGAAGACTGAAGTTAAACGGGAGAGATGTTGCTGGAGCAAGCATTGAAGCACAGGATTCTAAACTGACGTTACGTACGCAACGCAGTCGAAGAGAGTAACAGGGTAGCAGCGTGATTTACACGTAGCAATGAAACACACTGAGCCTGTATGAGTGAAGCTCAGAGGGAAGCATCGCGATCGCGTGAATGGTCAGATCGTAGCTGTGTTCGCAGAATCAGAGGCATGTGACTTGTGGCGGGGTAACAGTGTACAATGAGCAGCGGGCACGCCTGCACCGAGTTGTGAAACAGGAAAATTGTTATAGGTTGTTGTGAGTCAGAAACTAGCACTGAAATTTCGGTCAATAATGGCATTCACCAGCAGTTAACAGAAACGCTTTTGCGACATGCTCAGATCCTACTGCCAGCGCTGCTCCAACAAACGCATAAGTCATCGGAACGACTCAGACAACACTTAACAAGAAATTGAGCTCAACTGGTCAATGGAGACTCTTTTACTTCATCGCCCCTCTTCGTGTCAAAGCGCGTCACCAACAAGCAAAGGAAAGTGCGAGTTGTTAATTCTACATGAGCAAAAGAAACGTGATTCGTGCACGTACAATTGAAGTCTACGATGTTTACCGAAGTAACGAATGCGCAAACGTAAATACTTGTACTCCATGCCTCTGCGTGAGGATCTAGTTGCGGATCCGAAGTATCATCGTTAAGTCGATCGCCCCCAAATCTCACCCTCGAATAAATTTCCAAGGATGATGAAACAAGTAGAAAAGTTTCAGTGTAGTACGGGAACCTGTTAACTTACAGCACCCTTGTCGACAGCATCCCACAAGTCTAGTATACATAACTTCCCATCCTGAACGTAACTCCATCCTTATACATGAAAATTAAGCGACTCATCTTCAATAGACAGGAATTTGGACGCATGCTCGAATGAAATAGACCACTCGATCTTGGAAGGGCACGCGAGCAGCACCGTTTTGTACGGTACCCACAAACTCAGAATAATTGTGACGATATGGTTATAGCAGTGTCTTGAATAACGCCGATGCACCCAACAGCTATCCGATAGCACAGACTACGGCTCACCTGCATTGTCTCCGCAAGCTGAGTTTAGTGGATTGCGCGCAAAAACAATTGTTATCTACACATATTTATCCCAGTGTCTTAACGAGATGCAACCATAATGAGAGCTCAACAGCGTTTAATACCAGAGTGCAGCTTTTGGGTGCAGGAGTTGGGAAATAAATTCCGTAAGAATATGGCAGATATTCAGATAATCTTTGGGTACCACCTATGGGATAGCATAGTTCAAGAACGATATCGGAGCTGAAACGAGTGTGGTAGATCCTTCGAGCAAAGAAAACAACCAAACTGGTTCAACGCAGTGGTGCTCACGAAAACAGCCTAAATCTCGTCACAACGAAGATTGGTGAACGTTTCGCGCGACCGATAAAATGTGAGAATTGTTCATACAAAACCATTTCTTAATTTTGAATCCATCAGCAATACTGATGAATTCGCTGCCATTGAAATTGAATACCCGGATCGAAGCGAAGTGGATAGAAGAGTCAAGTCAATTAAAAGCAAGGGTATTTGTTAGTCTTTGTCTAGTTGTGAGACAAACGTATGACAATGGACTTTGGAATCCCTGACGGGACAGAAAACTGAAGCGAAAAGGTTCAAGAGCGTTTTAGACAAAAAACAAAGACAAATTAAGCAATGAGGAAATATCTGAGCAATAGGATAAAAGCATCAAAAGTATAGTATACAGGCACGACGTCAAAGGGGAAACGTCTTATCATACCAGAGGCATAGATGGGCAGGAAATGCGTAAGTAAGCAGCTGAAGGAGAATGATCCATGGGGAAGTGAGTGGAAATGATTGACCATGGGGTAAAATATCCAAATGCGTGCAATGACCCAAACGAGTATTTGCACTTTCTCATTGAACGTCCCAGGACACAGGAGGCCTCTGAAAAGGGAGAGTAAACCAAAGGTGACTGAGAAAACAGAAGCAAAGTGGATATCTAAATCAGCGAAAGGATGTAGATATGCCGGGGAAGGCAAAGAAAGTAATATGAGTCTGTAAAGTGTACATATTTTGGGGACCATGAGAGGAAAGATATTTGCGGAAGAGAGGAGTCTGCAAAAAGTTGTAACCCATAACCTCAGACGCAACGATGTACACTGTTCCGAAAGCTACATAATTTTGTGTATGTCGGATAAACCTTGTGGATCAGTGCCTATTAAATAACAGGCTGAGAAGAAGCAACCGAAGTTGAAAGGCTGGCGCCCAGATAGTTCTGTAAGCGCTGGTGTGCGACGCAATGTTGAAAATAGAGCTGTACAATCAAATATAGGTGTCGAGCTGGTAAGTTAAAAATGTAGCCAAAGCTGGAAAAAGAAGAAAACCAGTTTGAGGGGCTTACGGTACGAGGACAGATGCGAGAGGCTGGGACTATACACCCCGGCCTATCGTTGGTTGTGAATCGACCTGATCATGACCTACCATATAGGCGACTTTACCATGATGAGGCCACTGCCCCCCTTTGCACATAACTTGCAGCATACGCAGACACCCGTACAACCTCGTGATTCCGGATAGCAAGTGACTTCCACTGTGTTTTGAACGGACAGTGGTCAATGTTTGGAACAGTTTGCCAGAGCATATAGTGGAAGCAAACTCGGTGGATCAATCCGAAACATTGTTGGATATGCGTTTCTCCAATGTTCGATTTAGTGAACGATATCTCATATTTGCGAGTCCCAAGTTGCACGTTCTTGACCGACATCAGGTGAAAACTTGATAAACGATCAGGGTATAGAAAGCCATGAATTGCTTTGTTACAATTGTGATTATATTTCGATGCAGTTGTAAAAACGTGAATTACAACATTCGCAGACAATAAAGTCATAAGATGATCCAACATGCATTCAGGTGATAGCAAACGGGGCAGCTTATAGGCCGCATAGCCATGGCACATAGCCAAGAGTTCAGACTTCCTTACGCGCACATTTAAGCTGGTACATATACAATCGCCAAGCAGACGGCCAAATAGTGTGTGGTTATTCTAGTTCGAGAAGCATAAACGTTCAGTGTGAAAAGTAACGCTGTGCGAGGTTGATGTTGGGCTACGCGCAGCTTCCATATATAGTTGACTGTATCCGGTTCTGGATTCGCCTGTCACTGTGGCTTCCTAGGACAGGCATAGGACGCCTGCGCCTACAGAAGGACCATGGGTGGCTTGCGCTGCATCACGCACAGCTCCATCCACACACCACATATCCGGTGTAAACCCGAAGGAATAAAACCGGGAGGCATGCGGATAAGAACCATGTTTCATCAAGGGAGACAGTCCACACTCCTTCACTCGCAAACACATGCACGCTGTATTCGAGGAATCAAGCGCATTTAAGACTGTTGCTGGACGATAGTCCGCTCCACACTGGATGGAACTAAGCTTAGACCCTAGCGCGGCCACGAGCAACGTGCACCCCCCTCCCCTCAGCAACCATTCACAATCTCCTGCAGCCACCAATCGAGGTGGAGGATGTTAGACAAGTAGGCACCTTGTCAACATGCATATCAAGCGTAACGACACCGCGGATGTCAAACAACATCCAATCTCTTGAAATGACAATACCAAATAATATATATCTCGAATAAAGCATACGGATATGTAGACTTAAATCTTCACTAAATGAGCATGAAATAAAATGGTTATCAACAAATCCATGATAAGTTCAAGACATCAGAAAAGATATTTTATATAAATGCCATAAACGCGAAAAAGTAAACGAATATAACCACAATCCGCCTAGTGAAGTGCGCAAGTAAAATGAAGCTTATTCACACAGACATTTAAATGACTTAAAAAATAAACGTGAACAAAATATAGATAAATGAGTAAATGCTTTATTCCCGGCAGTGCGGGGCACGCCGGCGAAGGCATGATCATGATCACAGCAAATCAGTCAGTTAAAACGAAGTAACACAGCACGCAAGCACGCGGTTAGTAAATCGAATACAGCATTCCTACCAACGCTGCGCCGGTTCTGCCTACGTTCTCTGCAGGACCCATCGTTGCTTCGATGGTGGTCCTGAGTGGCCTCGCTAGAGGCCAACTAGGCCTGCCTGACTCAGGCACTCGCGACAGCATGTGCTACAACACCATGCGCACGACGTCGATGAAGTACAACCCATCGGCGCCTGTCGCTTCCACACATGTCGCTTCTTTCCCGTATGTACAAGGGCTTTCTCTTTCATCTCGGAAACTGCCTTCGTGATCAGATCGCGGTATGCACGCCGATCAACCAACTTCGATTTCTAACACTTTTAATCAACAACAGAACGTGATGAGGTTCAATTTGATCACGTCCTCGTAACGTAACTTCGGTTTTCCAACGTGCCGTTTCCGTGCACTCATTTGGCCATACAGCAGCTGTTTCGGTGTCAGTGTCGAATTCATATGCCACACATGACCGAGCCACCAAAAGTGTCTCAGCAACAGTATACAACCCACTACATGTATTCCACTTCAACGCAGCACCTCCGTGTCTTGCAGAAGATCAAGCCTACGCCGTTGTAGCTGCGCATCAGAAGCAATGCGATGAGCACGAGCAAAACAAACTGAGGAACGCAGATGGAGAATGCCTCAGATACGTGCGCTGCGGTGTGCAGCCAAATTCGAGGTAAGATTACGAGAAGGATGACGTTCTGTAGCTTCAGATATGCTTCCTTCTCAACAGAATAAACGTGGCAGGCTGACAGTGAACGATAGTCGTCAACGAGAAACAGCAGACGAGTGTCAAACACGACCACTTGCACAGCAATCGCACAGTTTCAATCGTCTAGCATTCCGATACAACCCAGCTGAGTATTATAGTTTGAGTCAGCACTTTCTCACTGGCACCATGACTGAAGTGTGTCCGTATTGCAGGGCGCTGAAAGTTAATGTGGAAACGAAAGCAGTGTGTTGCGCTGCAGGAAAAGTAAACTGGCTAAAGTGGTAGAAGTACCGGAGTCATTAAAAACTTTGTTGGCCGGAGATACCGCGGAACCAAAACATTTCCACTCTATTATTAGGAAATACAACTCATGCTTCCAAATGATGCCTTTCGGCAGTGGAAGGAGCGGCCAGTACTTGACTCCTCTGTGTGACAAAAAAAGAAAATCATGACATTTTGAAGCATTAAGAGACAGATTACGAGCTTCGTATAAAACAGTTAGATCATTCAGAAGGTTTTGCAACCTGACTGAGAAATCAGTGGTTCGATGACTGATACCCAGGATGTCACCAGCATACTTTAGTAGGTTCCTTTCTTCAAGGATTGGTACTGAGCCGACATAAATTGAAAAAAGAAAAGGCGAGAATTACTCCTGAGGGAAAGCGGAATTAGTGAGTAGTGGGGATGAGCATATGCCACTGAGTCGTGTAACATGGGAGAATCCAGCAAAATATGCACTCAGCAAATGGAGGAAATAGGGATATTCCTTGAATGAGTAGATCCGTCAGCAGCAATTTGCGGCTTACACAGCCGAATAGGTCGACCCAGTCCAGAAAACAAATTCGAATGGACCTGTTTCCGTTGTCAACCGAGGAAAGAACAGAATGTTCGAGACAGGCCACTGTATCTAAGGTAGGTCTCAAACTACGGTAGGTGAAATGAAGGGTATTATTAAAACACGTTTGCGACAGTATCCTCTCCAGAATCTGCAAGGCAACAGAAGTGCAAGCAATTGGTCAATATCTGCAGGATCCCCTTTTCGGCACCGGCGTAGTACTGACATTTCCCCAGCAGTCGGCGATTTTGTGTTGTTGCATACCCATTATGGATACAGGCGCAAAAGGCGTTGCTAAAAGGTGACGAGATATAGTGTGTCCGGACCACTAAGTTTACCAGGACGTGAGTGCTTCAGAAAATTACTGACGGTTATAGTGGCGAGAGGAGGGAATAAGTCTACAGACCCCAAAACTTAGGCAAAGGAAGGGTCTGGGGCAATATGAATATCGCAGTTACAGAACTCCTGGTTCAGTTGCTCTGCATTCAGATTAAAGTAAGGCGCACGTCGTGTAACCGCCAAGAAGCTCCAGCATCCTCCAGTGTTCGAGACAGTTACCAGATAGACACGTGGTCAAGATGGCATACCTCCTCCTTGATACAAAGAATGGGGGCCTAACTGAGGTGCCGCCTCTTTAAACGCTTCCTCCAAGAAAAGTAGATGTAAAAACAGAAATTTATATAGTTTGCCAAATTGTTATAATACTTGGACAAGTTAGGTTCAAAGAACAAACTGAATTATTTAGTTGCAACTAGTTCACGAAGTCGGTCAATATTTGGTGAAGAGCATTGCCTTCACCTGAACCTAGGATCAATGCAGCGATTTCTTGCTGGTTTGTCTTGTTATACACGACAGGAGAAATCTTGTTTGTTGGGTGATCGGAACTGCTAATCGGAGCCCGACCGCATACACCGAACCACATCCCATGATTAACGAATATGAGGTAAAGGATCGAGTCTAATCTGCTGGGCTAATTAGCCAGGTTCTGTACCGCGACAGAGGCCGTATCGAATCTGTTGTAATCCCCGACAAAGACATGGAGAACAGTCGATGCGTTCTATGACAGCTGCTGTAAATACAACATAAAAGCCTATGCTTCAAGCTAGATGTTAACCAACGATATTGAGCAGCAGCCAATTAAACACCTCGGGGTGCATTGTAGAACTAAACAGTTAATACATCGTGGAAAGAAATACAAGATGCGTCTTGTTGCAATACATCACCACTTCTGTCTCGGTGTGCGCATGGGCAGTCAACCCGATGGTAATACTCCCCTACGGATATGACAGCATCATCCACTTCTTCGTGGAGCCACGTTCCTCGCAAGACAATGATGCCGGGCTGTGAGAATTCTTTGTAACATGACAGCCCAGCTAACTTTCCCAGGGGATAAGGGATGTTGGCACTAA